GGAAAGAGAAGAAAGAAAAGTAAGAGAAAAGGGAAAGAAAGAAAAAGAAAAAGGAAGAAAGGGGAAAGACAAAGACGGGATGGAAGGAAGGGAGAGAAAGAAAGAAAAGGGGGGGAGGGAGGGAGGAGAAAGTGAATGAGATATATGAATGAATGGATGGATAGATACATGGAAGGAGGGAGGGAGGGAGGGAGGGAGAGAAAAAAAGGAGAGGAAGGACGGACACAAACCCTGGCTTCAGAAGACCCCTTGAAACAACACAGCAATCTAGAACTGGAAGGGATCTCGGAGGTCATCTTCTAGTCCAAGGGTCTTCAAACTTGGCAAGTTTAAGACTTGTGGACTTCAACTCCCAGATTTCCTGAGCTAACATGACTGGAGGAGGAATTCTGGGAGTTGAAGTCCACAAGTCTTAAAACTGTGAAGAGCCCTGTTCTAGTCCAACCCGCTGCTCCAGCAGGAGATCCTTACAGAATCACAGAACAGCAGAGTTAGAAGGAACCCTGGAGGCCATCTAGTCCAATCCCTGCTCCAGCAGGAGACCTTATATCATCTGGAATCTGGATTATTTTGGTGCCTCTAACAGAGAGGAAAATGGCCGAGGAGTGTAGTAGGACAAGGCTGCCATGCAGAGGAAGGCAGAGATAGTCCTTCACTTAGGATCACAATTGAGCCCAAAATTTTGGTTGCTAAGCAAGAGTGTTGTTAAATGAGTTTCACCACATTTTACTCAATCCATGATAAATCCTGGGTCTAACGGTCACGTGCAGGCTAGGGAAGTAAATCTGAAGGCGTGTGCAATGTTCTAATGTACAGAAGTTATACTTAAATGTGTGGCAGAAAGTGGACGAGGGTGTGTTTTTCCAAACACTGTGAGGCTGAATGTGTATAGTTTTAGAAGAGCTGTGTGTGTGTGTGTGTGTATGTGTATGTGTGTGTGTGTACATACACATACAGTATATATAGTAGATAATGTATCTTTTTGTGTGCCTTTACACACACTATACTATGCAATATGTATGTACACATATAGCATATATACTATACATAGGATTAAATATTGTATTTTGGATGTTCAGTAATAGTAAATAGAGAAATTATATCTCTTTGAGGCCAGGCAAGGCACCCCTTGACGTGAATGACATCAAGTTGGCCACGCCCACCCAGTCACATGACCACCAAGCAACACCCACCCAGCCACATGACCACCAAACACATTGAGAGGCTGCCACAGAGAGGAGGGGGTCAAGCTATTTTCCAAGGCACCTGAAGGCCAGACAAGGAATAATGGATGGAAACTGAACAAGGATTTAACCTGGAAACAAAGAGAAGCTTTCTGACAGTGAGAACAATCAACCCATGGAACAGCTTGCCCTCGGAAGTTGTGGGAGCAGACTTTCAAGAAGAGATTGGACTGCCATTTGTCAGAAATGGTGTAGGGTCTCCTGCTTGGGCGGAGAGTTGGACTAGATGACCTACAAGGTCCCTTCCAAATCTTATTATCTGTTATCTGTTAACTGCCCTGTCACACAACCACCAAGCACACCCTTCCAGTCACATGACCACCAAGCCACATCCACCAAATAAGCCACGCCCACAGAACCGGTAGTAAAAAAAAAATGAATCCCACCACTGATTCCCACTCCTGATTATTAGTGACATGGGGGGGGGGAGGCTCAGCTTATTAAATATCTCATCATATGATTGTGATGCCCTGTAAAGCATAAACTGTGCCCCCCCCCCCCGCGCTCCCCGCTCCCAGTGATCCTGGTTTGCTTTAAGAAGAACCATGTTGCTTTCAAGGGAGCGTTCCCTTTAAGTGCAATGCTCTATCCTTCCGCCATATGTCATAACCCAAACTTAACAATACACCTTCCAGCATTCTCGCCTTTTTCTAGCCGTGGCTTCGAATACGCCTCCCCGCCCAATCCAGTGGAGAGCCGCTGTCGCGGAACTTTGTGCTGACCCGGATGGTCACGGCACAAAACGACAGCGGTGCGTGATTGGCGCCGACGCAGATCGCTAACGCCTCGTAAGCAAGTGGCCAAGGGAGATGCCTCCGAGAAGCCTGGGTGGCATTCATCTCCCCCCTCCGCACCGCCCCCCCCCCCCATACAGCTGGTATCAGACCTGGCTTGCAAAAACCCCGGACTTCCCGTGCACAAACCGTTTTCTACACCTTTTTTTGTGGCCATTTGATTGTCTCTGCCACCTAGATCGGACAACCCAAATTTCCGTGTCCTCCATTCCCCCCCCCCCACAACACACATACTGGGGGGCTACATGATGGCAATATACCCATGACGTCAAAGGGAATACCTCTCTATTGGGATGCTTGGGGTATTATGTGACGGCGCAACACCCGATGACGGTTTCCTAGGCTTCGGCTTTCAAGTTCAAGTTCCACCTTAATTGTCAATGTTGTTCTACCTAGCCGCTTATTTCCGTCTGAGTCGGAAGTGTGCATGTTTTAAAAGACTCACGATCGTCATTTCCCCTGCCCTTTGTTCTGTCTACCCTCCAAAGCCCTGCCGCTTAACCCAAGAGCAGCAGCCAAAAGCTTTGATTCACATGTTAATAGACCGACCCACCACCCTCCGCTTTTCCGCTCTGCTCCTTTAAGAGCGAGTTGATGAAGTCAGCGCAGAAGCCGGGACTGCCGCCGACAGCGGAAGTGGTGGGCGGGGACAAAGGCTTTCTCCCACCTCCACTCACCTCCACCACCACCCCCCGCCCTTCCCCTTGAGCGAGAACACCCGCCAGCTGACTGGCTGACGGCACGAGAGGCGCCCTCGGGGTGGGTGACGTAACGGGGACGGAGAAGGTGGGGGGGGGGCGTTAGCGCCCCCGGCGCGCGGTGCCTCCGCCGCAGAGCGAAGGTGGAGGGGTCGGGATGGCAGCGGTGGCGACCCCGGGGGGAGCAGAGGCATCCCCGCTGCCGACTCCCGGAGGGGGTGGGGCCGAACCAGGACCGGGGCCACGGCTGCAGCAGCCCCAAGAAGAAGAAGAACACGAAGTGGTTCGTGTGAGGGTCAAGGTGAGCGACCGGGAGGCGAAGAGGCCAGGTGTGGCGGGGCTTCATAATGATGTCACAGGGCAGGGCAGCTTCCCTTCACCTGAGCTCTCCAGGTTGCTGAGACTAGGGTGGTGCTTGGAGAATGGGGCCGAGGGAGGGGTTCGGGGGCTTGGAAGGGTGGCCCACAAGATAATGTTGGAGCTGAATCTGCAGCAGGATGAAATGTGGATAATAATTGGGTAAGAAATTATTGAAGGATTGAACACCAGAGGAAAGCGGAGCTGAGGTTCCAACATTTTTCAGCAGCATTTGCACTGGGAGATTTAATTGTAGGGAGTAGTTAGCTGTGAAATTGGCCACATAATTGGCATGGGAATCTGCTTATTTCCAAGGTAACCTTGCAAAATGTATATCTTCTTGCCGTGGCTGAGACATTGCTCTTTTGTTCAGGAAAGCATAGGCTCCAATTTTCATTGTTTCATAAAATGTGCTGAAGTCACTGATTGTTCAGACATCATGCTAGGCTTTGGCTTGTATTAACTGTAGCTTGGAATTAAGACTATATTTAAATTTCCAGTTCGGTAATATGTGCTGCTTTTCTAACCAACCCTAAACTTTTCTAAATATAACATACTCAAGGCATATTCTGGTATTCTGATTTAAAATAATTTAGAAATAAGGATATTTTGTTATTGCGATTTATTAAGATTTAATATAGCTGCCCATTCTAGTAGGTTCTTCCATGTTATAAGAAACATATATGTTACAAGGAACTACGTATTTAAAAATATTTACTGGCAACTACAACCTTCCTTATTTAGAAATATGTCCTTTTGAGTTCATGGGATTTGAGCTCTTGATTTTTGAATTGGACACTATTGTTCTGATTCATGTCAGAATCAGGTCTTTGATTCAACACTTCAACAAATATAATAATTTGGACCATATTCTAAATTCCATTCAGACATGGCAATTATATTCTTGTTATACGAAGCTAAAAGCCATTTTGTCCTATTTACTTCATACGGTTTTTTTGCAACACTTAAATACATATGAAGAAAAGCTTAAATAATAGTTATGTACACTTGAACATATATTGATCCTGGCCCTCAATATTTATAGCGATCTTTCATTATTTCATTTCTTCTAAGTATATTGGAGTCAGTTCCCAGAATTATTCTCCAGTGTGGTTAATGATAGACGTTTGATCTATTGATTTGGGAAATGCACACAAATTTTTGTTCACTTATCACTCAAAGTTGATTAGGGAGAGTCAATAGCAAGCTGTTTCTAATTTATTTTCCCTTCTCTTTCTCATAGTGATTCTTTTTCTTCAGAAGGCATGCCTATAAGCAAAGAGAGGAAATGAAATATTAACAATATACTTCAACGGAGATGGCCTGACAAATATGGGATTGAATCAAATGTGGTCATAATCTTCATTGTATAATGAAACAGTAATAACATTTCTTTATTTTGTCCCAGGAAATACTGAGACTATGTACATTATAGGTACAGATTATGCAGACTATCCAGTTAATGGCACTGTGTTTTAAATATTACATATATGTGCAATTTCTGCAGAAATGTGAAGGCTTCTTGCAACCTGAGTTCCGGACTTTTGCTGTGGACCCACAGATCACTTCACTGGATGTATTGCAGCACATTCTCATCAGAGCGTTTGACCTCAATGGGTGAGTTACAATACAGAATAACCAGAGTTGGAAGGGACCTTGGAGGTCTTCTAGTCCAACTCCCTGCATAAACAGGAGACCCTATATCACACGAATGGCTGTCATTTGTGACATATTTGGAACAGATCAGACATCCAGCCCTTGCTTATCAATGGAGACCAAGTGGAGCAAGTGGCCAGTTTTAAGTTTCTGGGTGTTACCCTAAAAAAGGACCTGACCTGGGGTGCCCACATTGCAGCCCTGGTCAAAAGGGCCCAGCAGAGATTATACTACCCGAGACTTCTCAGAAAACAACAACTGAATGAAAAACTGCTGGTGACCTTCTACCGCTGCACCATAGAGAGTATCTTAACTTACTGCAACTCTGTATGGTTTGCCAATTGCACAGTGGCAGATAGGACAGCACTTCAGAGGGTTAGCATTGCCCAGAAGATCGTTGGTTGCCCTCTCCCCTCTTTGGAAGAGCTTTATAGCTCCCGCTGCCTTAAGAAAGTTCAAAACATTCTCAAAGATCCATCTCATCCTGGCACCCTTTTTTTTGAACTATTATCATCTGGCAGATGGTACAGGATAATAAAAACAAGGACAAATAGGCTGAAAAACAGCTTCTATTCCAGGGCAGTAGCTCTTTTGAATTCTACTGTATAGTGCAGTGTTGGGGGTTTTCAATTCAATGTATAGAATGTGAAGGATGTGTGTTTGTGTTTATTTTCATAATGTACGCTGAATATGGTATTTAATTTCATTGTACGAGGTGCAATGACAATAAAATAAAATAAACATTTCTATTGAATAGAAACATTGAAATACAATGCTTATCATTTATGTCATGTTAGTTCTGGAAAGCAAGTTCACTGAGACAGGATGGAAATAAATGGCCCTGTCTTTCAGCTCCCATTGTGATTGCTCCAATTAATGAAAGCAAATTTTGCAGCACATCATTGATGGGGCTACAAGCTGGGGATTTTTGTTTTGAGATATTGGAAAGAGAATGAGAACTCAGACTGTGAACTATGAACAAAGTTCCTTTCCCTCATTATGACATCATATATTACATTATCAATGAGGCTAAAAAAGAATGCCACATACCAAGAGGGAGACTGCTAATGCTGTACGGGGGTTTTCTAAGAAAATGAGAGGATAGATGTTTTGGCATCCCTGAATAAAGTGGGACAGTATGTTTCATTTTAAGAAAAAAATGCCTATTTTAGACATCAATTTATTGCTAACTTCTCATATGATTGTAAGTGTAGTGAAGAGAAACAATGCTGTTCCTCTTTTTTAAAAAATTATATCAGTTGGGTAGCCTTCAAAAGCTTATGGAACCCCTTCCAGCAATCGTGGCTTCACAGGATCCCAAATGACATAGCTGGAATTCAGCAAGGCACTGACCAAATATTGCAGCCTCTTTGTTTTTAAAATTGGTTGTTGGTGTTGGTGATGATCCCAAGAGGCATTCTCTCCTAACTCATTTTCATCCTTACGACTCACTAGCTTCTCAAGTCAACTTCCTGAGTGGTGAATATTTTTCAGGTTTTGATTAGTTTTAATCAAGGGATGGTGATCATTTGCCTCTTAGAGCAGGAATTCCTAACCCCCAGGCTGCAGCCCATTACCGAGCCATGGCCTACTCGGAACTGGGCCTGGCGAATGGCAGCCTGGCATGCATGCACAGTTCAACCTGCACGAGTGGCGAGCCGACGCACATCCACACGTGCATAGCTCAACTTGTGAAAGTTGAATGGTGCGCATGTGCACTGCCCTGCCGCTCATGTAAGTTAAGCTGCGCATGCATGTGTGCCGCCCCATCGCTCACATGGCCCGGGTCCTTTCCCCACTCCAGCCAGGCCACCAAGCCACAGAGGTTGGGGACCACTGTCTTAGAGGCTATCTTTCCCCAGTATTTTATCTCCAGAAAAACTCCATTTAATTGGCTGGAAGAAAGATCAGCCCTGTCTCCTTTTTTGAATGATCTCCTACAACCTTTGCAACGTTGATTACTCTTGTATTATTGTCTAATGAGGATTTAGTTTGGCTGGAACTTGCCCCAAAGCCCCACTTAACACCAGACCTTATTTCACAGTACATATGTGGGAGGTTGTTTAGTGCATGTGTGATTTCTCATCTTATTTTCTACATAAATATCTACGTGCCATGCTGTGAAAGAGATATTTAGCTTTAGTGAAAAGAACTCTAAACCCTTTCCCTGTATCAGGAAGAAGAATTTTACCATCAGCTATTTAAGCCGAGATAAGCAAAACCAAGAAATGTACTTGTCATTGATGTCAGACTGGGATCTGGGGATGGCCTTTGCCGGAGCTTCTAAGCCTTTTTTACAACTAAAGATAGACATCAAGCCCTTGGAAGACAGTGAGTAATTTTTACTTGTCATTAACTAGAGAGCAAATAATAAAGATTCTGTTCCCTCACATCTTGTTCTCATTCTATACACTTTACTGCAGGGGGGCATGTTCCATCTACAGAGTTCTTTATCTTTACCTTCTCTATTTATATTGTTCTTGAGGGGATGGTGGCTGATAGCTGTTGTAGAAGAGAAGGTATGAATCACAGCATTGACAGATACAGCATTGTTAGGCATAGTCATGGATGGGGAAACAGCAATAGGGTTCAGCAGGTAAATCTCTGTGTGTGTGTCTGTGTGTCCCCGTATTTTGGTACATCCCACCCATTGCTTGACTCACTCAAAAGCTATCTGTTATCAGGTCCCTTTTTGTATTTTATCAGCACCTCTTTCCAGCTTGAAGCATGCAAAAATTAATGTGGCTTAGAACATTATGTAATCTAATCACCAAAGACAAGTTCAGAAAACTCTGCTGACTTAGAATGCAGTTAGACTGAGATATAAACTTGAAAAGCCCTCCCCCTCCATTATTTTCCTCAAAAGAACCAAAGTAAGTGAATGCATGATTTAGTAAATCATAGTAGTCGTACTAAGTTTGTTTTAAATTCTTTTCTTCTTATAACGAGATATATATACACTCTTGTTTGCATCCTTTTTGGCAGACATCTTTGTCCCTGTGAAAGTGCGAATGCAGAGTGGAGAGAAGGATTGAAGAACTGGTTTGAGAAATGTGCTTACAATGTCGTACTCTTTCAGGCCCCCTGCTAGAAGATTGGGATATTATCAGCCCTAAGGATGTTATCAGTACCGACTTGCTGCTAGTGGAGAAGAGATCTCTGGCAGCTGCAGCCCTGCCCTTCACCCAATCCATCATTTCCCAGGTGGGCCTTCAGGGAGTTTATATTTTCATTGGATGGTATTTGCAAGATCTAATGCAAAATGCAGTGCCCTGCATTCTTATGAGTCAGTTTCAATATGGTTATAGTATACTCTTGTAAAACCACAGTGTTTATATGCACAAGATGCTGGTTGTTTTCTTTAAAGACCTTAATGGCTTGGGGTCTAAGAGATTGTCTTTCTCTGGTAAAAATCTACCAACCTGTCCTGAAAGGCTGTCCAGAGTCCCCATTTACTAGGAGATGCAGTGCGAGAGGGCCTGACAACAGCATTCTTTGTAGTACTCTTTGTCCTATGGAACAGCTTGTGCTACAAAGTGAGGGTGGATCCCACTGTTGTGGCCTTCTGGAGAATTGTAAAGGAGTTATCTTTTCCAGAGGGTCTTTCAGAATTGATTCTGAATCCATCAGAATTAGCTTTATTCTAATACGTTGCAGTATTTATCTAGTAGTTACGCAGTTTGTGCTTTAGTCTGGCAAGATTCCTGTCAATAGGGGAACAACAAATTTACTACTCTGATCAGCTCATTGTGTGGCTTCTGGTTTTTGTGCCTGACACAAATTACTCTTCCCCAGCCCTCTAATTTTGTAGGAGTAATTAACCTAAAATCTTGCATGGTAAAATATTTGTGATGTGTGGTTTGGATTTTTTTTTTCCTTCCAGCTTTTAAGTCATTGACTGTTGTTATTGACCTCAGATTTCTTTTTTGTTTTTTTGTCAGGTGGGACGGACATTGTCAAAAGTCCAGCAGGCACTCAGCTGGTCCTATGGGGAAGATGTCAAACCTTTCAAACCTCCTTTGAGTGACTCAGAATTCCATACATATTTGAATCATGAAGGCCAGTTGACAAGACCAGCAGAACTGCGTCTCCGAATCTTCCATGGTGGAGTTGAGCCTTCATTGCGCAAGGTGAGAAGGAGCATTTGGGGACCAACATTCCGTCTTGAGAGAGGGATGCGAGAGTTAAAGGAGGAAGAGGAGAACCTTCTATTCCTTTGTTTTCTTTCTGAAGCAATAGTCTTGGCCTTCCTAACTGCTGGTAGTAGCTCTTTGTTATAGGGGAAAGATTTATTCCCATAGCTGATCCATCACTATTGATGAAGAAAGTTTCTTTTAAAACTGAACCCGCCCTATCTCTGCAGGTTGTTTGGAGGTATTTGCTAAATGTCTATCCTGATGGCTTGACTGGACAGGAGCGTATGGATTACATGAAGCAGAAGACACGTGAGTATGAGCAACTGAAGGGGGAATGGGAAGCACGGACCAACCCTGAAGACCTGGATTTCATCCGTAGTAATGTGCTGAAGGATGTTCTGCGAACAGATCGCACTCATCCCTACTATGCTGGTTCAGATGATAATCCTCACCTGACAGCCCTGCATGATCTTCTGACCACCTATGCTGTGACCCACCCACAGATTTCCTACTGTCAGGGTATGAGTGACATTGCTTCTCCCATCCTGGCTGTAATGGACAGTGAAGCACATGCCTTCATCTGTTTCTGTGGCATCATGAAACGCCTGGAAGGTAACTTCCAGGTAGATGGTGAAGTCATGTCAGTTAAATTTACCCATCTCAAGCTTCTCCTCCGCCATTCAGATCTGGATTTCTACTCCTACCTCCTGTCTCGGGGTGCTGATGACCTCTTCTTTTGCTATCGTTGGCTGCTGTTGGAGCTGAAACGGGAGTTTGCATTTGAGGATGCCTTGCGCATGCTGGAGATCACATGGAGTTCCTTTCCTCCTGATCCTCCAGAGAAGGAAGTGGAATTAGTGGGCCCTCCAGCCAGACCCGGAGACAGCAGCCAGTCTATCCGAAGGAGACACATGCTACGCCCAGCTTGTAGCTTTGAGGCAGCTGGGGATCGGCCATGCCAGGGGGCAGTTGCTGAAGAGAAGGTATTAGTAAAGCAGTCTAGTTTTGGGGAATTCAGGTATTACATTACTCATAATGAAGACAATTTGGAGGATGAAGCGTCACTCAGATCTCAGCACTCAGAGGATGAGAAGGAAGATTGCACCAGTGAGCAGGATCCCTTGATTCAGACAACTAACATGGCTAAATCCTTCTCTGCTCCATCTCTTCGGGCCCTGACACCACCCTCTCGAGATTCTGCCTCCTCCTCAACTAATGGCAATGAGGAAAGTCAATCTGAGGAAGAGAAGGGAGACTCTGTAGTGAATTCACCTACTTCTCCCTCCCATGGACCCGCTTCTTCTTCTACTCCTCCTGCCCTAGTCAGCCTCCCTCCTCCGCAAGAATTTGGCAAAGGCAATCCCTTTGTACTCTTCTTATGCCTTGCCATTCTTTTGGAGCATCGAGACCATATAATCAAAAACAACATGGACTACAATGAGTTAGCCATGCATTTTGATCGCTTGGTTCGCCGGCACAACCTTAATAAGATCCTTCACCGTGCCAAGGCCCTGTTTGCTAACTACTTACAGTCAGAAGTCTGGGATTCTGAAGAGGGAGATGAGGCAGCAGCCGAATCTCCTGCGGTTTCATGATTCCCCCTTCGTCTTGATGTGTAGGGACGGGTTCCCTGCGGTCATTATGGTGCAAGCATCGATGTGGAAGAGTGGCCAGTGAAGTAATCCAATTTAGGCTCAATCGTTCAGCAATCCTCTTGGAAGATGGTCTGGAGCAACTAGATTGGATTGCCACACTCAATACACCTTCTGTATCTAATGTATCTGTTTTTAATGAACTCTTTGGGCAAATATCCTATCCATTTTGGTGCCCCCTTCCCTTCCAAGTGCTAAAAATAGTCTTTTTCAAAGCAAAGTTTACCCTGGAGCAGCCAGGTTCTTCCTATTTCCCCTCCCTAATCAATACCCCCCCAAATATTTCTCCCTCTGACTCCCGCCCACTTCATTTCTTAAGATGTTGGTTGCTAAGAGACCCAGATTGATTTCTGATCCTTCTGGAATCGGGATCTTTTCTTCCACATAGCTTTGCCAAAAATATTTTTAATGTTCCATCATGGTATATTTTTATTTTCCAGCAGTTTAAGCTCATTAGAAGTTTTACAGAGATGCTTCAGCTTAAAAAAAAAATGCCTCATATGCTTATTTCAGTGGTTTTTGGCCCAAGTTTGCTTTTTTTTTTTTTTTTTTAAAGCACTTTATTTTTCTGGGGCTTCTGTTCCACTTATAGCTTTTGATGGTTAAAAATATCCCTAATATCCATATGCATGTAAAAACAAAACACACTGGATGTGTTCAAAACCAAACTGGCAATTTTCTGAAGGATAGTCAACAGTTTAACAAGAGGTTGGGCAGAGAGAATAAGTGGAGACCTGATGCCAAAGTGCCCTTAACAGAATAAATTTGAGGTGTGCAGTACTTTATACTGTGCTTGCACGTGCCTTTTGATTAGTTGTCTTCCCAATAACATAACATCCAAGACTGACTCTCTGCACATATAATCATATCTGAATAGGTGAGGTCCATTTGTAGGTGATTTAGCTGGCCCTATTTAAACCCAGAACCTTGCTCAAAGTGGCAGGTTGACATAATAGCTCTAAAATATGTAGCAGGAAATTCTGTATCTTGGAGCTAAACAGAAGTCATTTCTACTACTATTTGTTAACCTGACACCAAGGAGGGACACATAATACTGTGCGCAACTTGATTTCCTGCCAGAGAACTTTTGAATCTTTAACTCTCCCCAATGGCTATTTTAGGGTTACGGTAAAAATAGATTCTTGCTCTTGCCTGTTGTCTACTGTTAAACTAGATGAGAGAGATGATAAGAGATTGAAGTTTGAAGACAGTGTTGAATGATGTCAAATCTGAGCTATGTTGGTTGCATCTTTTTTCTGTCTAGGTCCAAAGTCATCTGCCTAGAAGAATTTTTCCCATTCTGCTTTAATCCATTGAGCAGAAAGCCAAAATTCTTGGTATCAGCCAGGTGTGTTCCTTGAAGTCAGTTTTCTACCTGTAACATCATCAGGCAGTTTGAATCCATATTTCTTTTAAGTTAGGCATCTTCTGCATCTGCTAATATTTTATTTTATGACACAGGGAGGAGGAAATGTCTTCCCTTAGTAATATTGGATATACAAGCACATGGCTACTGGCTTTTTTCCCTTAGCCTCAGCCTTTGTTTATTGGGTAAAGCTGGCATGCAGGGTTTTTCTAATCCATTTTAATTAAATGGCCACTAGAAGGAGCTGGAACTTAATTTAAGGTAACCTGTGAAGCAACAGTGAAATAGGTCTGCAAAGTAGGGACCGGCAACTTATCACATTCACAATCCCTTTTCATTAGCCTTCTTAGCTAGAGTGAATGAGATTTTGTAACATCTGGAAGACTTCAACCCCTGTATTCTTCGCCTGTTTGGATGGATAGCATTTATGAAGTTGGAATAATTGCAGGGATGATGATATTTAATCAAAATATTTAAACTCTAAGCCTTTTGGAGAGGCCAAGAAAAGGGCGTTTGGGTTCCCCATACTGATAGTTAAAAGTGTGTTACTACTAACTCATGGCTGTAAATGGTGCCTTAAGAGCTTTGATATTAATGAGATGCATCCTCCTGCAATATAGAAATCAGCATATTATTAATTTACTCAGCTGTTTCCTGAGTGAGCAATATGAATTGTGAACACAACATTTGGAGGTCATAAGCGAACCAGATATTATGGATTATAATTGGCATTTCTAGTTATTTTTCAACACTTTCCCCGTGTGTGTAATAGTCCAATCTGGGACCATCACATTGCACACATTTACTATATCCTATTTTTTCTAAAGGTTAGGGTTCTATGTCTTTTTTCAACCAAACGTCTCCTTTGCATTGGTTTTAGTGATCTTGAAACATCAGATCCACTCAGACTGCTAGTTCAAAACTCGTCATGTAAATTGCCCTGCATTCTGATCCATGCTGATGGTATTCCAACTCGTGTAACAGTAGCTAGTGAGTGATGTTGGAGGGCAACCAGGCAGGCTGTGGAAATACCAAAATATCGAGGCCAATTCTTTCTGTGCTCCATGCTAAGCTAGCTTCCTATCTAATTTATAACTATGCTTCTCCGTGATTTTTTTTTCTTCTTCTTCTAGAAAAGGCTTCTGCCTAAGAATCAATTGCTTATTTCCTTCATGATTTGCTCTTTGTGTTACCATGAGCTTACATGAAAGCATGCATGTAATAAACTATAATTAGTTGAGACTGGAATTTGAAGCCACATGTTAACCTTCTCACATGACATCTGAGAATATAAGAGCAGTCAAGTGATATGATAACATTATGCTAGTCCTTAGAAGGTCTAGGCTGACTTGATACCAGATATGAAGTCTCCAGCCATATTTATCTGCATATTTCAAAGTACTAGTGAGAGGTCTTACTGCTTCTCTTAACAGTGAGCATTTCATATGTTGCTGGTGATACTGAATTGGGTAGAATATTGAATAAAATATTTTTAGGTAGACAAAACTCACGGACTTCCTCAAAAGATCTGAGGCAGTAAGATGACGTGGAGCAGCAACAGCTATTGCATAGACTTCCAATGTGTGAGATTAATTTTCTGTTTTAATTTGGCTTGGGCATATATTTTAATCAACACCAATTCCGAAGCATTGGTTTGGCCCAAGCCAACTTCCCCCCTTTTGATTCTTGATTTGTAGGTAAAGGGCTAATATTGCTGGGTTTAAGCTGTGGCATTTTTTTTTCAGATGGGAACGCCTTTTCTTTTTAGCTTATCCCTTTCTAATCTGCTGAAATTTCTAACAGGGCTGTCAGTGCAAAATAGTTACTATTGGAACCACATCGGTTGCACTGGTTTTAAGTGTTTGATTTTCAACAGTAAGTAAATTGCAGGCAACATATTTTATTCTGACTTGTGGAGGGTGGATCACAGACCCCCTTTGGTGATTTGCTTCCTCCATGGTGCTATTGGAGTCTCTGTGTCTCAGCCAGGTTCTCTTGGTTATTTGTTTTACTTCCGGACAACTGGTATACAGTCTGGATAGCGTTTTCTCCCCTCCTTATGAGGACAGGATGGGCCTGACCTGTGCCTTTTCCTATGCTCAGAAAACTTACTTTAGGATTAAATTTGAACCTGCCACCAAGTTTGAATACAGAGGTAAGACTCAAACATTGGTAATAATAGGGTGTATATGTACACTTGTTTTGAACCTTAAATTTGGACTGATTGGGAGGTAGAGGTGTTCATTTTATCTCAGATATCAAATCACAAATTACATATTAAATTGTGATTCATGTCTTTATGAGGCAAACACTGTAAAATAAGTAAAACTAATCTGAATTTAAGTTCCTAGTTCAGATGCAACAGACATGTTTCTTACTTCAGAGAGATATCCAACTGAAATTTAGTCTCTTGCATCCAAAGTCTTTAAATGAGAGTTTGAAATGAGAATTCAGTATACTGTTTTTGATTAAATGAATCCTTGCTGTATTTCAAAAGCATGCAAATACTTCATGTCCATAAAAGATTAGGAACAGAACAAGCAAACCTCCATGCAACTGGCAGTGATGCTGTAATTGTATAATTTTCAGCTCCTTTTAATTAATTGCTTGACTTCAGTGACCATCCAAAGTTTATGCTTAAAATGTATTGCTTCTCCAAATCTCTCTATAATTCTACTTGCTTATTTTTCACTGCTGCTTTCTTTCATTAATGTGCTAAACTAGTTCTCTGAAGCAAATAATGGAACTGACTAATACTATATTGCCAAAATAATTGGTTATATCAGTTGGAGAAGAAAATACCTTAACAGACCCTCTCTGTATTGTTGAGATGTTCCTGAACTTTCCTTGCCTTATAATCCCTTGTCTGCTGCTCTGGGTTTTCTTCCCTCTCTACTGTTATCACCACCAACAACGTTTTAATTCAGATTCTCCTATTTGTTACTCAGGCAGAGAATCTGACCAACAGGCAGCTAACACATCCAGATGGATCTGATCTAGTTATTAAAATTCAATGAAACAGCCTGGCAGTTTGAGTGAAATGAACAGAAATTCTTTTGTGCTCTTTGTTGGTTTGGTGAGATTTGCATAAGGAGTTTGTCACGATTCTTTAATAGCAGAAATA